GAGGGAGTATGAGAGCTAATAGTTGATAAGCCCATTTTAGAGGTACTTATTTCTCCATATCGAAGTTAAATTATTGCTTAATTTTGAATAAACAAGAACAAGTGTTCTTCATTTTTTATTTAGTTATTTAATGACTGAAAGAGAGAAAGGCATACAGGATTTTACTAAAAATTACTACGATATTTAATGACAAGAACTTTTGGATCCGGCTGCTTTCATCCCAGATACAAATATAGAACTAATACCATATTATTTTCTCGAGTTCCAACTAGCATCATCACAGTGTGATTCACACATCCGGAGATTAGATATGATTTGCCCAAAAAATAAACATGGGAAGTTTGGATTTCACTGGAGGGTGCAAACACGCTATTGGATCATGCAAAAAAGGGGGAGGGGTGTATGCCTCAATCCCTCTAATTGTTCCACATACGAAAGGATGTCCAAATAATTGTGCAAACTACATTACATAAGGTGATATCTTCTTGAGGCAAGTATCATCCATGGTACGACCCATAAAACACCGGCATGCGCACTCAAATAAATTTGCACAGAAATCAGGCCACATCCGAACAATCTCGCACTCTATTTCTTCATCATCGAGCTTCTATAATAACAAAAACATATACACAATAAATATTTGAGAAAACAAACAAATACAACTACAATTTCAAGAATGACATCGACGCCTTCCCACAATAGTGCATCACTTCATGTAATGGACTAACTAGATTTAATCGCTTCCAACACATATTTCAGCATGACAAACATTAGATCAAGCAACATCTAATTGATGTCATACTTACAAGTCTAAGAAAAAAGAAACCAACAAAGACGTCAACTAATTACTTAACCTCCCAAAGTGTATCCTTGCGGTGCTCTCCACCTTGTCAAATAATGATTTTCAAAGCATTCTATCCCTAAAAGAAGCAACAAAACTTGCATTGTAGGTGGACACATTGTGATCCCCAAAATTAGGTCATCACCAATGCACTTCCATCCCCTGGCAAGAAGGGTGTTGGAACTCATATTTTACTTCTTACCTTGTTAAAATAAATAAATACATTATTGACACACTCCGTTCTATATCCTTCCACAGATACACTAGCAAATTCCTCTCTTTCCCTCTAGATTTTTTCCCTCCCCGAACACCCAACTTTCTCACCTAATGGGCCGCCAGGTTCGAGTAGCGATTAAAAAGGTACCATATTAAAAACCCTTTGTCATGTCAATATCGACCTCTCTTCCTTAAACCTAATGCCTCATAATATATTCTATACTTCTTATATGATCCTTTGAGATAACATAAACCCTTGAAGAGTTGAATTTTTAGAAAGAAAGCATGCTCATTAAAACTGGATGCCAGAGAACTTTGTATTTTTTCTTACCTTCCTAGTAAACTAACTATGTTGTAACTACGATTGTAATAGGTTCCTAATTTAGCATTTCATTAGATGATAGTAATGTTATGTTATACTTTAGCATTCTTGGACAACTGAATCATATATTTCCCGAAAAACACCCTCAATTAATTTTCATAAGATGTACAGTTTAAAGGAAATCAATGAGAAACTAAAAATTTGCCACTAGAAAAAATGAATGTCAGAGAAGCCATGCTTACAGATAAAGCAACTACTAAAAGTTGAAGGGATGCTGGTTTTTACTAGATTTAATTAAAAATTATTTAGGCATACTTACAGAATTTTGGGCTACTTTTACAACAATATATGGTGATTAAAGCCAAACCCAAACTATCTACCATCACCCACAATACACATAATAACCTTTATTAACAACATATTACCATCATCAATAAAATAGAAGAGAAGAAATTGATCTGATATATGAAATAGTACCTTTCCGCGAAGATGATCATATTCTCTCTCATTTATGTGGATATAAAGGGTCCTAGCAAAACTAACAATGTCAATCCACCCTTTTTGAGACCATCCTGCGTGAAGACCACTAGATTGAACTTCTTCACTGTTTGTTTTCTTCTTCAAATCTCGAGCCCCCCATTTCTCCCATATCACTTTATAAACACCCTGCGTCAGAACAGTCCACCTATGCTTGGATGCAATTTCCGACTCTGTAAATCTCTCTTAAACAGTCCACTTATGCTTGGATGCAATTTCAAATGATTGCTGATGGCCTGTTGGGTGCCTGATATATGAGAAGGTTAACCAACGGCGAAGAAGAGATGAGCGAGAGGGACGGGCAGAAACAAATTGGGAACTAAGTAAAAAATTTCTCTTTCTTTTTTTTTCTTCTTTTTTATGGAAATGGTTTATAAATTCTTTTTTTTAATCTTTTTAATAAGATATATATCCCATAATTGTTACTCCCTCTGTCCAATATTAAAGTTCCCACTTTGACTTGGCATGGAGTTTAATAAACTTTAAAATTTGCTTTGACTTTCCCAAGTTACCCTCCACCTTAGCCCCACTTACCCACCCATACTTCCTACCCCCTCTGCCCTCTCCCATGTCCTGAAGACCAGAACCAGACCAAAGCACAAAATCGAGCAAATTTCCAGGGAGAGAAATTTCTCTCAACCTCAACATTTCAGAATTCTCGCAGGTAATCTTAAGGCCATATTCGAGCTATTCCCGCACTAAAGTAGAAAAATCAAAGATATGAAAAAAATGAAAAATATTTGAAGATGAAGATGACTTGAAGAAAAAGAACCTTCGTTGATGTTGGCCTCCTTCATAGATCGGAATCGAACTCAGATCTGAAGCAAATTTTTTAGATCTGAC